GGAAAAGAAATAGTAAACAGAATTACATGCAAGTCAATTGTTTGGTTTCGCACAGATTTGCAACTGGACCATCACATTCTGCGGCTTGTAGCTTCAGACCTTGGCTTTTCGAAGGGAAATGGGGATGAGACCAGTATAGATATGTAAAATCAGTATCTTACGTGGCTTCTACCTGAAACTAAAGCTTACCCAGGAGATCATGGCCAAGGGTTCATTGAAAACTCAGTGCCATGTTTGCTTAGTTTTGATCCCATGTCCACCTCAAATCAAAACAATTCCTAGATCCCTTATAACTGTATTTCATGGTATCCAAAAAACTCAACTAGAAATTGTTACGGAAACTGGAATGTTAAGAAACACAGTGCCTTTACACACCTACAGAGCAAGAGTTAATCTAAAGAGCATCAGCTAGAGACACAAAATAACGTGCAGTGCTGTTCTCAAGTATGTAAATGTATGCAAAAAGGGATTTTATTTCATTCATCCAGTCCTTATGAAAATTCTGTCCTGCCTGCATTCTGCGTTATGGGATTTTGTTGGGATTTATTAGTACTCCTACCTCTCAAAGTGTTCGCTAAGTCAGTAAAAGGGCATTGCTCTGACTCTAAGGAGATCCAGCCTAGTTTCCTGATTGGCATTCATCTTTTCTAGGTCTGGCTTCTGGAGATGAATGCAAACCCAGCATTGCATACCAACTGCGAAGTCTTGAGAGACATCATCCCAACTGTAGTCTACGAGAGTCTTGGTAAGTGAACAAGTCGCAGGGTGGCCAGCAGCAGAAAATCATATCACTCCATTGCTGGTCAGAGGAAAGACTCCTGTTTATATCAGTTGTAGGTCCAAAACAGCCTTTCAATAAAGATGTCTCACTGCTGAGTTTATAAGCAATTTGGAAGGCACTGAAAATTCTAATCCACGCAGACCTAGAAAAGCGATGGTCTTTTTAGCCATGCACCCATTAGAAAGAAAGAAGTGGTTAATTTTTTTTTGTTATAATTATTTTTAGGAATGTTTTCTTATATATTCATGTAGACAAGGCTAGAACTTAATACGTGACCCTATAAACTGCGCCTGCACATTTTTCTCATGCCTGTTGTTCTGAATGTGCAGGAATTTAAGTTGGTTTTTACAGCGTGCCTTACACAGCCGTGGCAGTGCTTAAATGCCAGCGTATCCCACTGTACTTCGCAAATATAGCTGACAACTGTTACCTGAGCTGTACAAAGACTGGAAAAAACCCTTACGTAGTCTGATATACATTAACTAGAACTGCTCCTGCCTGGAGGACCAAAATCTCTTCCACGCCTGATTTTCTGTGCTATCACTGTATGTGTAAGGAGAAGTAGTAAAGGGGGAGTCTATGTCTGCATGAAGGGTATTAGCAATACCCTGCTTACCCTTACTTTCATAGATACAGTTACCTCCCTGTGCGTATGTATGTGTATTCGGGGGTGTGTTCATATTCTGTATTGCATTGTAAGCAGTTTTACAATACTTTTCCTACCGATTTCCTGAAATGTTTCTGGTGGAGCTGAAGCTGGCTGAAGTGAATGCAAGAAAAGTGTGGTGTTTGGGGTTTTTTTTTTTTTTCAATTGTCTTAATAGCGATAGTCCACGGAGGTCACAGATCACAGGTTGGAAACCACTTCCCCTCCCCAGCCCTCATCCTTCCCACGCACACAGCTGCTTTGTGCATACACATGACAGCTTGGGTGTATTTTAGCGTCAGAGTGTTTAGTAACTGCATCTTCTTTTCTAGATTTGGTTCTCGAGGTTTTCAACAAGTGCCTCAAAGGCCAGAGTGTTTTGCCTTTAGACACACTTTGCCATTTTGTGCTTCTCTATCACGAGGATGCTGCAGACCTTGGCCAGAAACAACCCTGGAAGCTCAGAACCGGCCTGCGTACAGGCCGATTGCTGCGGCCACAAACAGGCAGTACCAGCCGCGTCGGTCAGAGCCCTGCCAAAGTGCTGGAGAAGTCTTCCAAGAAGCTTGGTTGCTCTAGAAAAAAGGTTGCCTTGTTGTCCAGAAAGAATTGTCAACAAACTGTCCTAACTACACCGCACGCGCAGCTCTTCGACCATCATGGAAAATCCCTCTGAACCACTACAGAGCAAGCAGGCTTTCACAAGTTCAGGAGACGTGAAAAGAAAATAAAAGCTAGACTCGTATGTGCTGTCCATGTCCGGCTCATTTTCATCTTACATAAACAAACAGGTATCAACTTCAACTGGAAAACCAGTAACTGTTTCTTTAAGTTCTTAGTTCTTCTGCAGAAAGCTTTAACCAGCCAGCCAGAAATTATAGGGAAGTTACAGAAAATGAGACAACTGTTACCACATTAAAACTCATCCCTTTTAAAAACAACGTCGATCTGACCAGTGCAATCCAGAAACAGGCCAAACTTCCTTCATACATACAAAGTCCTTACACAAAAAGGCAGAGAGAGAGGCTGCAAAGACTAAACCGAAGGCTTAACAGTGGAAATCCCCCACTTTGTCCCATCATCCGTAGCTGGACGTCCAGCTCCCTCACTCATTAGATCCTCTGTGCCTTGCTCGTTTAACCTGGCTATATTAAGGCTCTCTTTCATTTTTCATTTGGTTGAGGTGACAGCCAAGCAGCAGCACATACTTATCGTATCAGGCCCCCATCTCGGCAGGAAACAATGACGCTTGGGGGACCAGGGAGACGGGGAGGAAGGGAGAGAGGGTTAAAACCAACAGGAAACGCTTCTACATCTCAGACGCTGCTGCTTCTAACCCCAGAGGAATTTAAATGAGCAGTAAGTTGAAGGGTACGTGCGTGTTTCCTTCCCCTCCTGCGCTTACTCTAATTGACCGTAGTTCAGGCGCATTCATGTGATCTTGTGATGCAGCATCAGTTCGAAGCAAGCATCTGTGGACGGGGGAGCCAGTGACCGAGCATGGGATGCTGCAGCCTGAGCGCCAGGCAGGCTGGGTCTGCAGGAACAGGCCAGGATGAGGTGGAGCTACTGAAGACAGTCAGGACCAGGTAGGTAGCAATTTTGGGGGCATGTGAAAAAACCCAGTCAGCTCCACGCAAACAGAAAGACATTTGGTGCTTGAGACAAACTCAGTGGCTGTATTTGCTTTCCAAATATGACTCCCTTAAAGGAAAAGCTTGCTCTTCTTCCCTTTTTCTAGCCAGAATTTACAGTAACGCTAAGTGTCAGACTCACTTAATCTTCTAACTAGAGCCTGCTTACTTCTCCTCAATATGTCCCCCCAGGTGTGACAGTCTTTTAAGATAGAGGGTCAGCATTTGAGAAACCGAAGGTGGAAACATTCCTTCCTGCCATGGATGTAACTCTCTCTGTTTTGGGCGGGCAATCACAACCAACTCCTGGGGCTCTGGCAAGCACGGCTCATGTTAGGTCAGAAATAGTTGTTTTCAGTCAGACTGTCAGAGAGAGATCGGAGGCCTGAAAAGAAGCTCAGGAGGCCTTTAGTCCTGCTTCCACCTCTGGAGCAGCCTCAGCTCTTCCTAAATCTTGCTTGACAGATGCTTGTCTAACCTGTCCTTGAAAACCTCCAGTGATGAAGGTTCTGCAATGTCCCAGGCAAGCCATTGTTTCTTCCTAATAGCTAACCTTTAATGCAGGTAAGGCCATTGTCTTGATCTTACGCACCACAGACAAAAAGAAAAAATTGGTCCCCTCCTCTTTCTAGAGGTCTTTTACATACGTGAAGACTGTTACCAACGCAGTATTCTTTACTTCAGGCCAAGTGTTGAGCTACGTTATACGTTTCCTTCCATAATTTCACCATATTACAAGAAATGGTGTTATTCCTTCCTTGTCCATTAAAGCAGGCACACTGAAAGTGCCTTCATCACCCCTGCACTCTTTTCTATGTAATGTCAGTGGAAAATTAGGAGTCTAAGTGCTCTGTTGAGTTTAGGACCTAGTCTCTGCTTAACGTGAGGGGACATTTAGTGGTATGTTCTCCAAAAGTTCAGGTGTGCTATTCCCTGACATGCCTGCTTTCTGATTCTGCATCTGCCGCATTTTTTTTCCTAGAGTTCACTGAGCTGTTTCCAACCAATATTCCTGCCGAAAATAGCATATTCTAAAATACACCAAATTTATGCCAGAAATCCATAGATTTGTCTACTCGCTGAGCATTAATCTCTCTCTCTCTTTGAAAAAATGCAACACATATAAGTGCTTTTCTATGCCTTTCCATATTCTCTTCCATTTCAGAAAGTGGTCCAACTCAGAAGGCCAGAGTGAGGCATCCCTCCATCCTAAGGACCCTGCAATCCTGGCAGAAACAGAAGATGTGAGTATGAGCAGGGTCACGCAAGCAAAGACTTGTATGTAGAATCAAGGAAGAAATCAGAGGCCTATTTATCTCACCCACCATCACATTATCCTGATGCGTTATCCCATTACAGTAAAGTGCCAGAGGCTATGACATGTCCTCTGTTTTGAAAGCAAGTGACCAACAGTTCTCTCTGTTTTGAGGCCCAGGCGCAGTTTTTCAGCTTTTGTTCTACAATTTCACATGCAAGGAAGTTTGTCATCACAAGTCAGTTTTGAATTTTTTCCTGGCATGAAGTTTTATCACCACTGTTGAGGGAAGACGGTCAGAGAGAGGGGAAGGGGTTTAGGCAAATTCACATATATGGTCAACATCCCAATCTCCCACCATCTGGGCTGCAAAACCACCCCTTCTCTCTTTTAGCCAGTGTTATAAATCTTTATTGTTTGGCTTTCGTTTCCATTTTTCCACCTCTACTTGTCTTACTTTACAGGATATTCCTGGTAAGATTACCAGAAGAAATGCATGCTAATGTTTGTTTGTTTCAGACAGAAGTACTGTGGGGAAGAACGCGGGAGGAGCTAGTGGACTTGTTGATCACACAGCCTATCAGCGGCTGGGAAGGGATGAATATCCACTCTCTTGGGGAAATTATTTGGTCCTCCCTGGTTTTTCTGAGAAGTTATTGCATGGAGGTAATCATCTTCTTACTATAAGCACTGATTAATACCCAAGGGATAAGGTGGAGGTAAATTTGGATTTCATACAGCCTGTCCAAATAACTGTCAAATCCCAGGGCTTGACTAAAGCTACAATTTGTCCTGCCCTTTGTTTTCAAGAGTTAATGCTAATATGTTCAACTTTTTTCACCAGTGCCAGCAAAAGCTGAATGGATTTCATAGCCACTTCCTTGAGCAGCATGAATCTTTGCATTCATCCCCCAGGGGAAAAAACAGGGGGTTTTGTCAGAAGTTTCTTGTATACTTTTCCCCAAAGAGATAAGGACTCGTTATTATGGTTGCAAATTTGTTTGTGTAACGATCAAGCCCTCTCCACAGGTACTGGGGGCGACTGGTAAAAGTGTGATTGCCATTATCTTGGTTTGGATGAGGTCAGAAGAGGGAAATGAGATCTCGTCTAACTTTGCCATGGATTCACGCCTCTAACTGCACATCACTGTTTATCTGGCTGTCTACACACGAGTAAAACCACCCTGTCTCACTGGAATGCCATGGCCTGGCTTACTCGGGCTCAGAGAGCACATAGAGACTATTTAAGGAAAGATGATATAAAATTACAAAGTACTGACATAAAGCTTCAGTCAAACTGTGACCTAGTGCAAGACAGTCCAGCAGTTAAACACCGCTCGTTCCTAGTTACCATCTAGTCACTAAGCATGACAGCCTATCAGCACTCTGTACGCGCGTTAAGTACTGCATCAGCAGAAAGGAAGGGAAGGGGAAGAGCTTTGAAGAAATATAATTTCCTTTTTTAAAAAAAAACTGGAAACATTTTGGAGGAAAGATATAATTGATAGGAGATGTGTGAATGCTACCTTGTGCTGTCCTCCTTCCACTTGCTGATTCTTTCAGTGGATCGTACAAAGAAGGCATTTGTTTATGAGGTAAAGCACAAGAATCCTTTTGTGTCTGTTGTATCCACGTTCATATTCAAGATTTCCTAAATACCTCTTTGCTCATAGCTCTAGCATGTACATGGCAAAAAGAGTACCCACCTTTGGTGCCCTGCCAAGAGGAAGGCTCAGGATGGAGCAAACATTTGCAGGTCCCATCAGCCGAGACAGAGACACTTCACCGAGTTCAGGGGAGCTTTGGCATGTTTTCTAGCACAGTAGCTCACAATTCTCCATTTTTTCAGCTTACTTTGAACAGGGAAGGGAGTCTGCTCCAGGGATTGAAAAGGAGGTGCCAGTTTCTATTTATATGCCTACTTCTAGGATCTATAATGTTAGCTGGCCTCTTACCACTTAATCTGTTTACCTGGGGAGAGGGACTGCAACTCCGTAGGAGTGAGCTAAGTGAACAAGGCATCAACCAGGAGGTGTCGAAAGAAGGTCGTAAGAACAGACATGGTGTACCAAGGAGAGACATAATCCAGAATCCATAGCCGCCTTCAGCACAGCAATGTCTCCTGGTGGCTGTCTTTGGTATATGTCTGTGCATCCTAAATGTGAGAAAAAAAGAGAGCCAAACTGGGAAACTTCGTCACTACAGAAAGAAGGTCCTTGATCTGTGTAACATTGGAGTCGATAAAAATCTTAAGTCCCTCCATCAGTTAGGATTGGCGGTGTAAGAGGACACGGAAAAGAAATCATCACTTTGTGAAATACAGCATCCAAAATGCAAACTAGGGCCTCTTTGTCCTGAACATGAGTGTAGTCTTCTAGTCTTCTAGCATGGTTTGGGGCGTGGGGCAGGAATTAAAGAGGGGGAGGCTGCAAGGCAGATGAAATTCCATCTAGTTCATACAAAATACTTTTCAACACCAGCCTTGGACTATCGGTGGAGCTCACCCCTATATCTCAGAGCACTTTATGAAGGGGGACAGTCATTTTACAGGTAGGGAAACATGAATAACCCCTCGATTTCCTATGTCTTCAGACAATGAGCTGAATGTCATCCCACACAGACTTCCGTAAAGTCAAAGGTTCGAAGGATGGGAAATTCTTTAGCCTGGCTTGCAGAAAAGCATTCCGCTGTACATCAGAGGGACCGCAGTGGGACGCAGAGAGTTTGTTGTTACCAACCAATTTCTAACACAATTCCCCACCCTACCAGGGTCTCCTTCCTCTTGCTGGGATGCGTCTGAGAGAGATTGCGAGTGCAATCAGCCACACATTTGAAATTTCTGGTAAGCCTGTTCTGCAGTTCCTGAAGGGGCCTGTGATAGTCACAAAGCAGTGATACCCATGCTCTAGCCTTCAAGGACTGGCCTACGTGGCTAGAAGATGAGAGGGGCTATGCAGCCGTGAGGAGGTCTATTGAAGAAGGGACATGCCTCCTCTCCAACATTCAGCCATGCTGGAGAATATGCCATGCCTTTCTGGACTGGAATCTCACATGCAGCGTATGCTATAGTTGCACAGAGGGATGAGACATAGCTAGATGGAAGGAATTCAGAATCTTAGCTTTTACAGGTAGACACAACTGCTGCACAGCCTTAAACCAAGGATGCCTTAGGGTTAACCAGAATTCCTCACGTGCAAGGCAATATAAATTATAGGTTCCCCTTTACTCTAATTCTCTACTTAAACTAAACAGGAGGCAAATGCTGATGTCTGCATTTAGAACAAGGAAGCTACCCAATTGTGCCAGTGCCAACCCAGTACCTGCCATCAAGAACAACGCAAGACAGACACGAGCTTGTTTCATCATGAGGTATCAAAGCACAGGTGGAATGTGACTATAGAGATAATGACAGAGTGGAGGGGCAGCACACAGAACTCACCCACTAGGCTCAAAGGCAGATCGCAACCACCCGTCCTCAGACCCAGGGCCTGTATGTTTCTTTGCACAGGGTCCATGATAGAATCCAGGCTCATCTGCTGCCAGAATTCAGCTGACTTCAACATGTGGGTTCACCACCTCCAGCACCAAATCAAGATGGCAAACGCTCACTGCCCAGCCTGTCCCAACAATAATATCTCTTTTCTGGTGAGTCAATGCAGAAGAGATGTGAAGGGAATGGGATGAAAATAGGAAACTGTGGCAGCTTTGAAAGTGGACAGGGTTTTTCAGGGATTTTTAGAATGCAGGCTGGAAATGAGCAGTAGTGTTACTTGAGGATGCTGTTCTAGGCTGTGGCAAGTGAACTTGCTACATGCAAATTTGCAACTGCTACTCTATGCTCAAGAGAGATTTTAGAAAAATTACTGGTCGTTTTTGTTCCTGGGATGTAACTACTCGACCGGTAAAAAAAATTACATTTCCTTTCAGTTACAGTCACAAAATAAAGACTTTTTGATACATGCTGACTGTCGCACAAGCGACACACTGCACGCTGCAACATCCACAAGGGTCACAAGATGGCAGGATTACACTGCCACTGGCAACACCCGCACAGCTGTGCCTTGGGGAATTCACATACAGCAACGCAAGGAGTCCTCCCGAAGCTTTTGCCCATGTCGTGGTACGCTCAGATTCCTAAAGGGTAAAAGTCAACTGGAAAGCCAGCTTGTCATTCCCCGCTCCCCAGTGCTATTTACTAACAGTTCTGCTAAGGTTGCCCCCTTTTTAAACATCCACTCTGCTCGTCCTTGATGCCACCCCTGGAAACATTCCAGGTCAGGTTGGACGGGGCTCTGAGCAACCTGATCTAGTTGAAGATGTCCCTGCCCACGGCAGGGGGGTTGGACCTTTAGAGGTCCCTTCCAACCCAAACTATTCTATGATTCTAGCATGGCACAGACTTTAGGGCAACACTGTACCTTAGTTGTGTCTAACAGCATGCTTGTCTTCAGTTTGGGGGAAGAAAGTGCAACCCAGACTGCCCATCCTTAAGAGCTGCTGATTTCTGATGTTCCCTACGGTTCAGGTAATTGTTTGTAGCTAGTGCATACAAGCTGATGTTACAGGAGTGAGCTTACAGGGTGGTCCTGCTGTAAGGATGCAATATAGATTGCCGCAATCCACCCAGGACTCAGCCCAGCCATGCACACCGTCAGCCCGCATCGAACCCCGGTCCCCTGTTAGCTGGACAGCACCGCTTTGAAGGAAAGTATCCCCCAATAAAGGGACTTGAATGCCAAGCCCAAAGTGCTTTGAACTAAGATGAAATTCGAACTCAAATCAAGCCAGTGTCTCAGACAACCTCTTCTGAGAGGGAGAAGGAAAATGAGACCTTTCCCTTTTAATAGCTAAAGCTGTTTGGTTGTCTCACCTGCTGCTCATGAAACGACAGTACACATGATTTAGTTCAAGTAGGTAGGAAACCTACAGCTAACTAGGAACTTCATCATGGGTTTCCCGATTTCCAAGCATATATATATCCTAAATACCTTTCTTTTACCACCCTATAACCCTGAAAAACATCATACTTGTAGTTTTAGCTCATCTTGCTCTGTCCCCCAAAAAATGAAGGTGCCGTGTGACGAACAGTGGAAGAAAAGGGAGCTGATGAGACATCTGCTGTGTAACACCATTCTGAAGTGGGAAGGACAACCTATTCAGCATCTGGGAAGGATACAGTATTTGACCACGGTGCAAGTGGCTAGTGGCTGCATGGGGGTAACGTACAATGTATACCACTCTGACATGCGGGTGGCTTTAAAAAGACGGGAACCAGTGAAAGTTTGGGCTCACATGGAACTGGTGCTTAAAGAAAAGGAAAGAAGAAAAGAAAAAAAAAAAGGCTAATTATGTCAAAGTCCCACAGTATTAAAGAGACAAAAGGAAACGCAGTTGTATTTCTGAAAGCTGCTTCTGACAACGTGTCCAAACAGTTGCACTCAACTTCCGAGGGAGTAGAGCTGGGGGGGATAGTCCACCCCTTTCCAATCACACAGCAAGATCAACATTTTCTAAACGTTTCCTTGCAGATGTGTGCCTGACCTATTCTAAAAAAAAAAACCCTCACCATTTTGTGATATCCCATCAGCTTTCTAAGCAATGAATATCCAACCTGAGTAAGAAATACAAAGTATAGTATCCGTGGCTGCGCAGGAGCAACGGGGTGCTGCAGACAGTTCCGAGTTTTGGTGTATTGTCAGTCATTAAACTTCATATTCTGCCTTTGTCTGAGATGGATCCACTGAGTGGAAGTTATTGAACGTTTTTGCTGTCTCTAAGATGCCTCTTTTCCACAGGACTCTGAGGAAAGACTGCTGATCCTGTTTCCAGAAGATCTGCTTTTCCTCTCTGTGGATGAGGACAGAACTGCAATCACGTACAAGGTAACAGGAAAACCTGGTCAAATTTTAAGTGAAGAACTAAAAAGAGCTGGAGCTAGTGAGCAGCACCGGGTGATGAAAATGTCTGAATAGCAAGGAGAAAAGGGAGGAGCCAAAGGAAAAGCACCTTTTTTCTTTTCTTCTTTGAAGGGAAAACTCCCCCTAACTGGAATCCAGGCAAAGGAGAAATCTGCTATGCTGGGCAGGTTACAGTTTGAAATTACAGGTACGTAACTGAAAAAGAAAGATGAGAGCTATGAAACACGGGAGGTTCTGTCTGAACATGGGGAAACAGTTTTTTACTGTGAGGGTGACTGAGCACTGGGACAGGTTGCTCAAAGAGGTTGGGGAATCTCCAACCTTGGAGATACTCAGAAGCTGTCTGGACATGGTCCTGGGCAACCGGTTCTGGGTGGCCCTACTTGAGCAGGAGCATTGGACCAGGGTGACCTCTGGAGGTCCCTTCCAACCTCAACCATTCTGTGATTCTAATGAGAAACTGAGCAACACTGGTGCTCAGGCTTGCCTTGAGGATGGGTTATCTTGTGAAGTTGTCTTCCCACAAGGGATAGTCTGTGACTTTCCTTGCTATAGGCTAATAAACTGTGTCATGGCAAACTTTGCACACTTCTCCATCACTAAACTGTTCCCTGCTAATGCCTTGCAGGAAGCCTGACAGAACCAATCCTTATCACCTGTTCCACAGCAGAGGACTATGAAAAATGCGTCTTCTACCTACAGAAGGTATTTTTCAGAGAACTTTACTGCAGCAATATCTCTTTTCAAGCCTGGGACTTTCCCAGCCATAGATTCATCTAAGATCTATCATCCTCCCAACTTTTCTTCTCCTTTTCCACAAAAAACTCACCTGAGTAGAGAGTTGTCTTCACGCCTATCTTTCTCCTGATAAGACTCATCCATTTGGCCAGTAAAATATCAGTGGATATTTAAAAAAAGAAAAACACTCTGTCAGCAGGGGTTGAATTTGGGTCCTCTTAGGCAAAACACCTACCTATTCTAGGATTGAAAGACTGATACCTAAGCACTCAACTTTCACTGATTTCAATGGAAATTACATACTGAAGTAAGCAGAACTACTGAGGGGAGGAGGCAGGCCATTGGGCTCTATTTCATGAAGCTGGAGAGACACATTATGTCACACTACCTCCTAAAATACCCATGATTGCACTACCAGCTTATGACCTGGTTCCCTGGAAGTTAAGCCCGTGTAAACAGGAGTTCGTTCCAAGTAGGTCCTTCAAAATAGGACCTTATCAGGTTCTAGTTTTCCGAGTCAATCATTTTTTGTTGGCCAGCACATATAGCACACCCTACACAGTGGATAACCCTATCTTGGCTCAGAGGAGAGAAAGGTGAATCAGGAGTGGATGCTTTAAAAGCAGAAGAGATGTTGGGCTCTGAGTATTTATTAATCAATATGGCTATTCTATAGTTGAGCGTGGCTATGTTTATCTAGTGTGTAAATTCTCGGCAGAGTTAGGATATTCACGTGATGAAAATATCTTCCAGCCAGAGAAAATCGTTGATCCTCTGACTCTCCAGCCACCACCAATCATCCCTAAGAAATCCCGGCAGCATCAGTAGGACATTAGCATGCAATGACAAGAAGGAGGTATGCTGAATACGATCCCAACAGACACTGAAGAAGCTGCAAGAATGAGTAAGAATAGACTGGAAATGGGAAACCAAGCTGCCTTCAGACTGAGAGGTGAATAATGGTCTGCACAGGAACTATTCTCCACTGGCTGCTGTTTTGAATGGGCCATTGCAATCAGTGTAGGATCTTGTGATTCTGATCTCAGCTGTACATATGCCTCAAGGAGAAATCTTCTTCAATTTTCTTACTATATTTATTGCCTGTTTCTTATCAGAAAAAGAAACATTGTAAAATACTGTGTAAATACTACAAATAAAACCCATTCACCTGAGCCTAAACCATGTGTAGAAAGCAGCATTCAGGTAGCTGTTGGTTTGGAGAGCCATTGCCTTCCTTTGAAATGGCAGGCATAGTGCAATTCTTGATGGTGAACAGCCCCTTTTCTATGGCTTTTCTTCCCTGCCCAAATCAAGAAGAAATGTTAATCCTGGAAGTTTTCACAGACCAAAAATTGTTTCCCCGAATACTCATTGTTGTCTTCTACCCTCCGAGAAGAACAAACCAAAAACCTCCAGGTTGAATCAAATCTATTAATTTTGACGATTTCAAAGTATTTAATTTGGATTTTGAACACCTTAAGAATTTTTCCCCCGCTTTACATATATGTAGCACTGAAGAAGAAGCATTGCTACGAACGAAAACAACCAAGCATTTAATTTCAAACAGTTCTCAGTTACCTGTAGGTTAATCATCCAGGCTGCATCCATGATATAGCTGCAAAGTCACCTGAACAAGCTTTGCGTGGTCCCACGGTCCCTGATCTATCCCAATTTTTCCTTTATGCAGCCTATGCTGGCCACGTGTAAATCAAGAAAACAGACAGCTACGTGTACTGGAAAAAAAAATTCAAAAATTTTAGAAGGGGAAAAAAAAAATCTAACAAAGGTGTGACCACAAGCACCATAAATTATGAGTCTCTTTTCCTGAAGCTTTTAAGAACTGAACACCTCTGCCGGGTTGGGCTGAAACTAGGCAATAAGTTGAAAAGTTGTTTGGGAAAACAGGTGTGTAACCACACAATTGCTTAATTTCCCTTCCCTTGGGAAAGGAGACAAAAAGAATTAAGGACAGGAAGTCCCGTGAAAATATTGTTTTACCTTCTTCAGTTTCAAAACACTAATAATTTGCAGGAATCATGCGCAGACGTGGTAGCATAACAAAACACTGTCTGCACATACCCTTAGTTGCCTTCTGTTGGAGCAAAACCTCTAGCACGAGAAAAGCTGTTTCTATACCTCAAGCATTTCTCTTATCCTCTTATCCTTGTGAAAGTTACTCTTTCGCTCTTTTGTGCGGCTAAAAGATGAAGAAATCCCCAGAGCTCACGGGGGCCCCAAACACCCGTGATCATTATTTATGTATGTAAGCGAATGACTATATAAAAGGGTATCGCCTTAATTCTCCTAACTGCTACCCTGCATTTCCTAAAACTGTGTGGGAAGGTCTTTCTCTGAATCTGAACAACAAGCCACTTCTAAGCATCAAACATTGTTTTAATCAGAGTTTAAAACTTTGTGTTAAGAGTGTGAAGTTTCATAAACATTTACACATAGAGAAAATCCTGAAGAACTGTAGATCCAGAAGATTTTTTTTTTTATTGAACTTTTGGAGAAGGTGCACAAAAACAAAGATGGAAAGATAACGCCTCTCCTCTGCTAGGTGCCATTCCCCTGCCCTGAAATTTTGCGGTCATACCTTTTTCATTTTAGAAGGCAAACTTTGAGAACACAGATCCAGATCAGAAGCACAAAACGCTAAATGGCAACACTGGATGTGGCATCAGGAAATCAACGTACATTACTCGGAGAAAAGCTGCCAAAGTTGGTTCTGACTTCAGAGCTAGGTCACTGGAAGATCCCAGAACTCGCAGCAATCGGAGGTTCCCCTCCTGAAGGCCGGTTTCAATTCTCAGTATGCCAGCCACTTCCCCCAGCAGGCAAGGGAGCCTCAGGCACGGCAAAGTGGTGTCAGCTTCTAAGAAATCACAAACCATGTTATATTAGTAGCTTCTTGAAATTTGTCAATGGTGTTCCTTTCTAAGTATTATTAAAGCACATGTGCTAAAAGAGCTGGCTCTTAAGATGGTGAAAGATTTTGCTGACCGGGTCTGAGACACTCGGCACACCCTGGCAGTGTGAGGCTGTCTCAAGTAGAACGGAAAGCCGAACGAAAAGGCACGCTTCTCAGCATGTAGGAGACTTCTTCCAGCTCTGTTGTATAAACAGAATTGTTCAGAAATTTCTTAGTTAAGCGCTATCCGCTTTTCAGAGTCCTCACTCATATGTAGGCTGCAGCGGGACACATCTGTGTGCAACACTGTTTTTATCTACCATTTCCTCAACAAACAAAGGCAACAGCGCTGGCTGCACGACAGAGGTTAACGGCCAGGCAAAGCCTGTGAAATGCTCTCACAGTTGATCGCAGAGCCCTCCGGGTCCGGGAGCAGGCAGCCT